AGCGCCGTTTGACATGAAGTCTCAACCTCTCGAAAAGGTCTCGTGGATACCATCCGAGAACTAAAACCGATACCCAACACCACACCCAGCATGGTCTGTTGGGACATGATTGCATAATCCTTGCATGTGGGGTTTACGGGTTGGAGATTAATATAGGGGCCATAATAATTAGGATAAGGTTTTGGGGAGCAAATTTTCTATATTTGTCATAAGGAAACCCCACAACAGCATCGGTAATTATTTAGGCGCCCTGGTTTTAGGTACCTCAGGATTTGGGGGAGCGGGCCTAGTTCCCAGGTATTCGGTTCAACTCTGTTGCTCAATGAGCAGAAGCAAAACATAGGGTTTAGGGTTTAGGGTTTAGGGTAGAATCTGAAACAATCAGAAACGCAAACTCTCGCGATTGCTGGCGAGCAACACAAGGTGCCAGTGCAAAGAAGAAGGCACACTTGTTCACATAGGCAGGGATGCTGTCTATGGCTTTCATTTGGTTGCCCTGGTGTTGCGGGATGCTGAAGTAGTCATACCAAACAAAAAGGGTCGTGGAGAAAAGCTCTGATGTTCGCAGGGCTTTCACACCTGGAATAGCAACCTCCGTTGTGATGTCGACGGATATGGACCGCAAGTCTGTCATGCAATACTTGAGAGCCTGCTGCAGCACACACATCTGCTTGAACTCTGGATCAGGGTGGCTCGTTCCGAGCCATTGGTGAGAAACAAACGCAGCATTGCCCATGCTGTTGTCATACTCGACCAGCACGCCTTCTGCCTTTAGCACTTCATGTGGGGATAGCCTCGTCATCTGCAGAAGAGCTTCCAAAGGAACGGCATACATCGGGAATTGCATTGCAATCGACTGGGAATGTTCATCCGGTCGCCTTCTGAGTGATCTTGCATATTCGTCAAGAGGAGACGAGGCCGGAGCTGTGCAACATCGCATGGCTCTGTTGTGGAAAGAACCGTCCCTGGAGGCTTCCTGCCACGAGCTGCAAATTCAACAAATCATCGGCACTTGGACCAAGTATGTCTTGCCATTCTCTACAGCAGTACATGAAGAGACAAGCAGTTTTATCAGTTTGCTTCAGAGACCTTAGCAATCTAACAGCAGCAGCCGGGTCAAGAAGCGCTGCCTCAAGGGACTAAGTCTACTCATGGCTCAAGTGCTCACATAGCAATGGATTCTTTGAGGCTTAGCCTTCAACTTTCGGTAACAGTCTAGCTTAATGGTGAAGGGCAGAACCGAAACTCAAACTCTACATAAAGCTTCCCCTGAGCGCTCCACAGGGAATGCGTCTCCGCGGTATCCATGCAAGGCACCTGGTCAAGAACCGGCATGAAACCAAACCCCACAACAGCCACAAACCCTGAACCCCAAACCGCCAGACCTCTCAGCCCAGAACACGTAAATCCCAAACTCCGGGGCATATCCTAAGACCCCAGTAGTTTCTTTTTGGTGTTCGTATATAGAACCCTAAAAAGCAATCCCAAAAAGGAACTACTATGGGGCCTCTGGGTAAACCTGTAAATCAACCGCCGAAAGCCTTAATCTGCTCAGTTTTTGTTTAAGTCAACTTCCGGACTTCATCATAGTAAAAGCAGCATTGAATTTCTGCCGGAGTTATATGGTAGCTTTATGTATATGAACACTGAACCCTACAAATTTCTGCAAACCCTTACATGTCCCCTAAACACTGAAGGCGCTGCATGCTACTTGATAATTAGAATAAGGAACCCCCTACAATTATATAGGTAACTATTAAGGCCCCTATATTAATAGACCCCAAGCCCGCAAACTCTACGCCCCCTCTTGCTCTGCCCCACGGCCCGGGACCTTCAAGCAGTAGCTCCAGGCATTGCTGCCCCAAACGAAGTGCGTGACATGGGAGCCTTGGTCTGAAACACGACCGGTTAAAGGGAAGTTTACTTAGAGTAGGGTTCCTTTAAAGGGGTCCTTTATAAAGGGTTACTATAAGGGATCTATAAGGCTACTACAATGTAGGGGTTACGCTTTTTGTTTTGTTGGGGGGGGGGGTGAAACGCCTTGGTTGGGATGCGGGCGGGTCTTTGAGTGGGGCAGGGCTTGGGCTTAGGGCCATGGCCCTGGTAAATAGCTGAAGAATGCAAGCAGGCGGCATGCCAAAAAGAGGGGTTTCAGTGCCGACACCGACTCCAGACTCTGCCGCCACACATTGATGATTAAAGCTCAGGGGGGAACGCCCTCGGTTCCCGAGCCGCTTAAAGCTTCTGCTGGTTGCTGGTTGCCAAGAAGCACCACTCGTCCACCACATGGGAGGAGGGCGCTCTCGGGTTCCTTTCATCAGAAGAACTGGGTCCAAGCTCGGGCTGCCCGGCTTTGGGCGTCCAGTTTGGGGTTTCAGGATTTGCGCTTCAAGTTGCCGTACCAGAAAGCCTGAAAACTGACGCAAGAAACCACCCCAAACGCGAAACAAACCCCTTGGGCCCAAAGGCTTACCTCTGACGCCAAGCTCTGCCCAACAGTATGGCATAACCCTATTTCATCTGCCATAACTGAAACAACCCATTGTGGATCCACATGTCGGGCTTAGGGGTTCAATCTGGTCAAGTGTTTAGAAAAATCCACACTGTTCGACAATGCTTCTTGGTACCTTGCCTGATGAGATCCACTATTTCTCTGAGTTCTGATGTGTTGCAAGAGCCCTACCAAGTTCATTCACTCGCACACTAGATGCATACATAAGACATAGTCAGGTACGTACTTACAAAGAGACACAAGTAGATTGAAAAAGAAGGAGTATATAGACAGGATATCGGGTAGCAAGCAAAGTCGACTTTGGGAACCCGATGCCGTCATCAAAGAAAGTAGCCTTTGCAGAGCCAGCGATAACGATGGCATGAAGACACAGACTATCTCCTAGCTACGACCTGAAATACCTGACTCTCGGGGAAAACAGCCAAGCCCCGCAAAACCTGATACTAAACCAGAGAAAATATTGTCATTGTTAAACAAACTCACAACACGCCATGCAGACCCTTTACATAACCCTAAACCATCCAGTAAACCCTGAACAATCTAGGAAACCCGAACCCTAAACCCTCAACCCAAAACCCTAAACCCCCAGGCATGCTCGTTTCAAGATTTGGCTCGGATCGAAGGTTGTGCATCCCTCGTAGCGGTGGCCATTGAGAACGAAGCTCTCCACCTCTTCAGGGTGAATATTGAATATGGGAGTTTTTCCGAAAAACAAGGGGTACCTTATTCTGGGGTCCTTACAGTAAGGATATCCCCAAGAGAGGGCTTCAGAGAGGATCTTCTAGTTAAATGGGCTTTCATTATACAGGGTTCAGTAATGCTACGAAGAAAGTACCACGCTAGATGCGAGTCAATACCACCAGACTCCCATGTCTATAACACTATCCACCAAAACTCCCCTGACACCTCCCTCCAAAATAGGGTCCTGCATGAAGCAGTAGAACAGGGTGTTACTATACCGCAATGGCGAGGAAGCCACATGGGGTTACTATTACTGGCTATTCCGACCTCTTGGTTATGCTATGGGAAAGACGGTCTCGCAGTGCAAGCCATAGGTCGGTTTTGAGCGGAACCTGGATATGCTGAAGCAGCCTGTCAAAAGCTACACGCCCGTATCTTCTTGGGGGGTCCTTATTACAACTTCTCTGTCCCTAGCTTGAACCGAGCAGCGCATGTTGATGCTGGCTTAAAACAGATCTCTGGCATGTCCGACATGGCGCTCGACAAGGCGGATGCCTATAAACCCTAAACCCACGCTTTCAGGCTGGATTCGAAACGGACTTCGAAGCGATGTCCTTTTTTTCTGGAGTGTTTGTTATGGCTCAGGGCTTCGAGGTGGAGTTGATGCGTCTGTCTTTATGTAGCTCAAAGGCCTGTAAGCCCCCAACCCGGTCGACTGCCTTCTGCTGTGGGAAGGTCAGGGAAGTAAGGTGTGGACGACGGATGCAGGGCGAATCTATGGTTGTGGGCTTGATTTTGGCGTCTGGTCTTAGCTTGCACAAGGGTTGGGAGTGTGGGGCTTCGAGCATTGACAATTGAGGCTTGGAGACTTCGTGAGGAGTGGTCTGCGGGCCACACTTGCATGGGAGGCTGTGCTCGCTCTTGCCGAGCCACTAAAATGCTGCAGACGTTACTTCAGGGTGTTGGGACTACCTGGACCCCAAAGTATATAGAACAATTGCCTTTTTTCGGTATTGGGCCATTATTCTACCTACTTTGCGGGATTTAGGTGGGGTTTATGCGACACCAAGCTTCAGTTCAACAGTTCATCTTGGATGCAATCTCCAACCTCATGGGCGCAATACGCCAACAGCCCACCGGTACATTTTCCAGAGCTCCCAAGAAAATCCGACCGCCTGAACCCTACAAAAACCAAAACAGCAAGCCCAGCGCTTTCAACAAAAACAAACACGAAGAGCTGTAGCGCTATGGCAAGGAGGGTTAAACTGAGGTGTTATCGACTACCGGCTACACCATGTGACTGCTACCCTGCGTTACCCTGCATCGTCCGATTGAATAGAGGGGTGATGCGCTAGGGATTTCGTAGTTGTCTTGGCCTCTCCTACTATCGCCGTCCGGAGCTACCTGCTACTGGTACCAGTGCTCGTCCTTCCTGGCTTCTGCCTGCATGTAGCTGCTGCTGCTGCTGCTGCTGCTGCTACCGAGTTTTTACACTTGAGCAGACATGCAAACCGGAAATGCTTGTGTATGCAGGAAAAAGAACTTGCCGTCAGCTGACAGTTTCAACATGGGCTTCATTCTTTGGTTGGCACTATCATCCATTTCCTTTGACCCTCGCCTGGTTCTGAGCCCTTACTCTGCGCCCAAAGTGCCCGAAAACTCGAAGAAGAACTGGCAGAATATCTCAAGATGACAGCATGGTCACGATCGTGACCACTCCAGGGGTTGTAAGCTGAACTCTCTCTAGACGAGCCCAAAGCCCTACAGGCCCAACTGGAATCCGGCAGCCACCGGCAGAGCCACCGACCCGTCGGCGGGTCGCGCCGTCGTAGGGACGCGAAGCGGAGCTGAAAGGGCTACTAAGGCTACAATCAGTGGATTACAAGGGATGCAACTGGCAATGAGGGTTGAAGGGTCTAGGGCGAAGCTTACAATCTCTATCGAAATCTGGAAGCGGTGGGATGCTTTCAAGTAACGAGAGTATGAGGTGTCTTTATTCGGCATTAGTTCTTGCGAGTCCTAGATCAAACTCAGTGCCTCTGGTTTGCTCTTTAGGGGGTCCTGCAACAACAGGAATGGCCATGCAATCGATCGGCTGCCGCTTAGCTAGAGGACATGCATGCATGTGTAAGTATACATACATGTATGCATATGTAAACATGATGTGTGTGTGTACATGGCGGTCATGCAGTATTCGCGCTTAGCTGTTGATATGGATGTGGCCGTGCAACCCAACAAACGTGGGACCCTCCCCCGAAACTGTTTTCAACGTCCGACATCGAAACCGAAGCAGCGAGAACCCCAAAGCGTGGAACTCCAGGCCAATAACTTCACAAGCCCAGAACCCAGAGCAAAAACACTATCACAAGGCACAGGGTCTGGGACGGCTTGACTACCAACGCTGCTTGGTATTAACGATATTCGCGAAAGCGCTTGCTACATCCTAAGCCTGACACATGGGACACCTGCCAGATGTCAGGTTATCTTCATGTTCTAGGAGGAAGCGGAATGCAAGTCTGGCAACGAGTCTGAATCCATGCTTCAACTTGTAGGAGTCTCCTGTAGGGGTCTGTGGGAAGCCCTAACCTACCCTCATCATGTGAGCCTTGCCTGCCAAAGGTATGCAGACAGTGTCACCTCAGACAGGACAACAGCTGGGCTCTTGTAGAGGAATCCCTCATGAGGTCCTCTCTGCAGCTTTGTTAGAGGACATATACCGAAATCCAACCTTGGCTTTCAAAAAAAACAAACCCCCGTCAATGCGACCAGCTATGCAAGTACAAAGACAAAGTCGCAAAAGAGAGCCTCTCTTGTTCTCACACGGCCGAGTGGTGTAGAGTAGTCACGACAATGGCAATTCGACAGTATTGTACATGATTGCAGTACAGGCTCAAACTCAAAGTTGCTGGGGATTAGGGTTCTGCGTGGTCGGATAGGTTTAGAAGTGTTGCGACTTCTTGCCTCTAGGGCTTGCCGGCTTTTAACGGCTTCAGCAGCTTTGTCTTCAAGGCGACATGCCGACCATAGATAGGCTTCCGGCGTCGCTTCCGCCCGCGGCCGATGGAACCGCACCTGCACCACATTGCTGGAAGCAACACCAAGCTACACGACACGAAGCGGTTCGGGGAACGGCGCTTGTAGCGCACTAGGTATGCCTACTGTAGACCACTGCGTAGTAACGGCTTAGTAAACCATTCTTGCAGAGCCTTCATTACGGGAAGGGGGGCATTATTGTGATTCGTGGAGTCTATGTGAATCACACCAAGCAGTCCGGAACTCCCTTTTGTACCGAGGACTCAGCCTGCTGCGGTTTAGGGTTTAGGGTCAGGGAGTTGAGGGATAGGGCGACGGAGATCATCCACCAAGCACCGCATCCTTTCTGCCAAGAGGCCTCCGTCCGGTCTCCCTGGATTAAGGAACCTAGACCTTCAACAGTAACTTAAGCCATGTCAGCGATCCCTTTGTCATGTCAAGTGTAGTCCGTAATGAGGGGGACTGTACCTATAGTCTCCATTGTAGTTCCTTTTTTGGTTTAACCAATTTTATATTAAGGATCCTAAACGGTAACCCCAAAAAGGAACTACAATGGAGACTATAGGTAGTCCCTGGGACAAAGAATGTGAAGGAGGCGATGCCCGAGATCTCCTCGAAGTCACGCGTACGTATAGAACATGGCCTAGATCCAACCAAGTAGTACCCCTATGATTACCTTAAACTGCTCAGTGTAGGATCCTAGCAAGAGATAATGCGATATCCAGGACAAGGTACTAGGGTTTATGTAGGTTTACTACGGGATCTCATGACAGAGTATTACAGAAATGGAGTCTGATACTCCTGCATGGCAGATATTATACGAATCACACGAAGCCATCGCCATGTCAACTCGGAATATGTTCCAACTTGGGTGGTACCCAGTAACCAGCAACGCAAAGCCCCGTTCAGCGGCCTCTTCCGCCGCTTTCCACCAGCTGTGACCGATACCTTGTGCCCGAAGTGGAGGATATCTGAGGGGCCTACTTGATTAAATATTGCGGACCACCTTAAACTCACATGCTGACCTACCGATCTACATACGCAAAAAAATACATACATACATACATACATGGGCGCATATGCTGGTTCTTGGGGCTAAAGTCTAAAGAGCTCCTGTTTGGTGGGCAACCACGTTGGCAAACAACAACATACTGCTTGGCTATCTTGGAGCATGAAACCGAAAATAAACAAAACATTCGCCCGCGCACTGAGTTCAGCAAGGCTTCGTCCCTTGTAGTAAGGAAGACACACCATACTGCATGTTACTGTCAGGGAAAATCACCGGCTTATTCGAGGGTTAAGGCTCCATGAAACCGCTTCGAAAAAATGAAATCATGCTTCATGGCTTGTGAATGCAATAATTTGCCGCAACTAAGTGTGAAGGCCTGGGAAGGACAAACAGCAAGAAATCCTCATTGCACACAGTATTCCCACCTAGCAAAGCCCCATGACCGCAACCTAAACACTTCACCTAAAGCCCTAAATACCAAAACACCTCAAACCGTACATCCGTCGACGCCTTATTTCTACATCCGAGAAGTTTAACCAGACCCCCCGATAACTCAAACCCACAGAGGCTGGCACCAGGGCCGCAGCAGCGTGTGGCAAACCTGACAAACGAGTGATCATGAGTACTGAAGACTCCGCCGTCACATCTGAGGACTTTCAGTTCAACACGGCCTGTGTTTTTGGGGTGTAGGGTGAGCTATGTACCGGATTAGTGTTTGGACCGGGGGTTAGTGTTGGTTTCTGATCGAGCGCCGCGTCTGTCCGTTCCAGTATGATATTAAGTTCAGCTTTTCATAGACCACCCCTCAATTACAAAACGGAAACTCAATTATCGACCCCCCCCCTCAACTCAAAAGCTCGATCCCGAACACTCAAACACAATGCTGCTGTCCCTGGTTCCTAAAAGAAACCTGCGTTGTTAGAGTGAGCTACCCCTATCTAGAGGCAGGACCGAACAGAGAGAAACTGCACTGTGACTGCTTCGGCATTGCAGAGAGAGGACCAAAGAGCTTCGGATTTCTTGAGAGCCGGCTATTTTTAGGAACTCAACATCAAATAGGCAGACCAAGTTCTCGTTTGAAATTTAAGCAAATGAACATAGCTTTGACTCGCGCAGCAGGCAAGTGTACCGAACCTCTTCTTGCAGTTGGACTTCAGCATTAGTTGGGGTTGCCTGCCAGCAAACATCTGTGGATACAGACATGTTCTCACCTCATATCACCACTGCCTAACTTAACTCCATACGCGATCAACGCCGAATCCTTGCAAGTGTGCTGGTCAAAACCATATTCTTACTCTAGCACCTTAACGCTACCGCAAGATACAGCAACACAGGGCTAGGTCCAAAAGCCTCTCAGATCTCCATCTACGCCCTGGCCTCACCCACCATCGTCTCAAGGCGAATGTCCTCGACCCGCATGGCCAGAAAATGGGAAGTAAATATGGCAGGGCCTGACCCTGATACAACCGCGCCAGAATCGCACCCCGCTTAGAAACAAATCAAAAGCAAGGAGACTCATTCCTCGTCGTCAGTAAAGGCTAAATGAACTGTACCGACCCTTGTTTTGACAGAATTGACACAGGGTCTTCAAATGAGTGGGAACACCGATCTGCTCTCCAAAAGCCAGCAACCCTGCCTAAGCCCTGAAAATAGGCCGCGAGACAAGACCGAGGATTATGGGAGAGAGCGGCTGAAAACTGAGATCAACTCAAGACCTATGAAACCCAAAGCCCTTTTATTTTCGGCTCTAGGGTTTGGGGAGAGGCTGCAATACATCCCTTATATAAGCCCTTAACACAATCGATATAAACATATATCTATGATTATCTATATATATATAATATGTATATATATATATAAACACATATATATATATATATATATATATATGTGTGTGTATGTGTGTGTACATACGCTTATCTATAAATCTGAATCTACATGGTTACACATGTATGTGCAATATACCTTTTCATTCGGCAGGGGCTTTTGCATTCCTGGGAATCTCGTTTCCTATGATACGGGAGCTTCCCAATGGACAATGGTTGAGGGCCGAGCCTTGTTGATGAGTTCCCTGGCCGAGGGTGTACTATGATAGGACTGGTACGAGCGAACGAACCAAAAACATGCTAAAAGGTTGATGTCCCATGCAAAGCATGACCCCGCATCACACGCAGCCCCCCAAAGCGGCCTACTCAGTGCATTAGCCCTTTCAAGCCCAACCCCTTCTAAGCAAAGAAGACATGAAGAGTACCGGCGTTGAAGACACATCAGGCTATCACACAACAGAGGCGTCGCTGCGAGATGTGGGCTCTGATACCCAGGCATTCATGCCTGCCACAGCCTAAAAACCTGAACCTGTCACATGAGCCCTCAACCCGTGAAAGCTTTCCACATCTTTTACACGTGTAAACCATGCCTGTAAAGCCCTGGAAGGAGCCCTTTTTGCAACAGGCTTCGTACTTCGCCTGGAGGTCCCAACCCGAAACTAATCCCAAAGGAGCCCGGAACCCATATAGACCTTATAGTAGGCCGGCCTTATAGACCCCTTTAACGGAACCCTATCCTAGCTATTACCCTTATAAGGCCCCAAAGTAATTCCTTTTTGGGATTCGTATAAAGAATCCTAAAAGGTAGTCCCCAAAAGGAACTACTTTGGGGCCTCTGGGTAAGGCGCCTACACCCGGAACCCACACCCGGCCTTTGCAAGGAGGCAGCTCTCGGGGTGCCCGGCACCAGAAACAAGGCGAACACCTCAGAGGGTCGGGTTTAGAGTTTAGGGGTTGATCTTCCTTGAGATATTGCTTAGGGTTGAGGGTTTAGGGTTTAAGGGTTTAGGGTTTAGGGGTTTCGGCGCTCACACTCGGACAATCCAGGCAAGGCATATGCTTCGGAGTCTGTGTAGGGGTCGGGTTTAGGGTTTAAGGAAGTTTAGGGGCTGTTCTTCCTGAAAGATTTCTTATCTATGTATGTGTTGCCCTTTTCTGTCGTTTGGATTGAACTCTTTCCATACTTCTACCCAGAATGATACAGCATCATGTGCTTGGGCGGGGTGTTGGGGATTTAGGGATTCGGGCTTGAAAGTGCAGCTCAAAAAGTATTCTCGAAGTGCGCACAATGTTCTGGGTCTACTTTTCTCGGTACCAGTACCGCCGTTTCCTGTCATAGTAGACAGGTACCTTATGCCTTAAATAATCCTTCTTATCGGAAGCCCGTAAAGCAGTGATCGTAAGTGATCTGTCTACTATTAATCGACTTCGGGGACGTACAGACAGAAAGTCATCCTTTTGAGTCTTGCAGACAGGCAGGATGCCTAGCTCCAGAAAGCCTCGGGTGCCTTGTGCCCCGAAGTTTAGATTCCCGACACTTTTGATTCGAACCCCCCAACGCTTACGAGCTCTGCCCCTAAATCTGTTCCTCCATGCAAAGTCCAACCCAAGCCGAGACGCAACTACAAACCCTAAAACCCAAACCCAGAACAATACGTGGGAAAGCCCCTAAAACCCTGTTGAACTCGAACGAAACACCGGAAACGCCCAAGCAGACACACAAACACACAAGCCGCACAACTAAGCCTTCAAAATTCCTGGGGCCCCCGACGGCAACGTCTTAAGGCCAGCTGCAAAGAGCTCACTCTGGGGCCTGGGTGGAATATAGGGGCTTTAACAACTAAATTCGGAGTTCAGAGTGTAGGAGTTTAGGGGTTTTGTTGTCGGTTCTTGTTCGTCAAAGTGATAAGGCAAGGCTAGGAAGGATTTGCCTTCGGGGCGTTTCGGTGTAGTGTTTTGAAGCGGCCCTTAAGCCGCCAGGGTCCCTGCGGCCTTCAACTTTTCAACTTTGGTGTCAATGTTGTTTTGATGAAGGGATAGCTTACCCTACCATAACGTCACCTTTGCGGGAAATCTTAGTAATGTATGATATGCAGGGAGCCTGCAAAATAGGTTGTGGTAGTTCAAGGCACTTTATCGTTTGGCTTGACCGATTGCTGCGTCGTACGTTGCAGCTGGCATGCTCACCCGAAGCCCAGCAAATGAAATGGGACTGTGTGCAGGTGCTCGCCGATGCTCACCTCCTTATCACCATCTGCCTTTGCACCGAGACGGATACGCTCGCATCCTCTTGCGCCGAGGAGGGAGGAGGTCTAAGCAGCAACCTGTCGCTCATGTTCTCCATTGCTGTCGCAGGTATATGGGAGTTTCCGAAAGGTATTTTGGGGTCCTTATAATAAGGATACTACTATTAAGGATACTACGGTAGGGTACCCCTATTTTCGGAAACTCCCATATTATAAGTATCTGCTGTAGCGCCCAAACTTGTCACGTAAGGGACATTGAAACCCAATTCCTAAACCTTTCCAGTGTCCCTTCCGGGATGTCTCCGACAGCCCCTGAGCATCCAATTGAGGACAAGCCGAGTTCTTGCTACATTAACGGCTCTCAACTGGTGCAAGTGCTGAGGCCTTGTATTGTCTTTTCGGGTAACACAATCGTCAAAAGAGACAGTTTCTTGTGGTGTAGGGTTGAAAGCGAATCCCTCAAAACCCTGAACCCTGGAGCCATTCGGGGAGGCGGCTCGTCAGATCTGACGCTTCCTCGTCCTGTGCCGCAGTGGGATTGTGACAGAATATGGGGGGGCTTGATTGAAGACTTGGTCTTGCTGTTATGCTCCTTTGGGTTCCACATCAAGGGCTTCGGGCTTTGAATATCCAAGGCCTAGGCTAGAAGTCACTAGAGATTCGGAATTGGAATTCGTGTTCACCTGAACACAGAGCTCTCCAATGGTTTCATGGTAGCTCTTGGAAGTCTACAAAGTGCAGAATTGCTTCGAGGGTTTGGGAGTTGCAGTTAGAGCTGTCAGGGTGTAGGGTTCTGGAGTTTACGGTTTTGGGTTCTGGGGTTCTGAACTCTACCCCAAATCCGAGACCCTAGTTAGAATACCTCAGCTTTTTTGACAAGGGGCTCGACCACTTTTCGCAACTGAATAATCCCTAATAAAACCAGAAGCCGAAGTATCGAAGGGTATCCTGAACCCTAGAGTCCTACACCCCAAGCCCTGGCAATAGGACTTAGGCACGTAGAGGGGTTTGAGGATTACGGGGCTTAGAGATGCAGGGTCTGCTTTCTCACAGTCGGATTCTAGGCTTTCTTGTATCCAGCCTCGTCAAGTCCACCATCCAGGATCTTACAGCTGACGCGGCTGATGGCGGCCGTCATGCCAAACCTTGGCTGCAGGACCGACGATCCTGAAACCCCAACCCCGGGACCCACAGGGCCGGAAACCCAGTACAAACATGCCGAAGTCCTGATCTGGAGTGCCTACACGGCCGCTCGTACAGCACGCACAACGTCTGTTTCTGGGCACGTTTCTGCATCTGGGATCCCGAATCCAGGATGTCATCCTCTTAGCTGTGAGCAGGTGCCTTCATCTTGAGTGAGGTACTTGGTGTCCGCATGAAAGTTCTCCCAATCTTTCATCACGCTGAGAGCTCGTGCCTTCCACTCAGTGAGGAGGTCTTGTAACTGCACCGACTTCGCATTTGCAAGAAGCTTGCCAGCATTTTCGTTGATCTCCTGCCACTCATTTTTCGAGTTGCCTCGCCCATCCTTCGCCATGATCTTGTCTCCTCGCGCGATGAAGTCCAACAGCTTTTGTCTGTTCGATGGCGATGTCGACGAGTGACAAATCACCAGCAAACATTGCCCGTAGCTGACAGCAATGTTGGAGTTCATGCTTGCCACCTTCTGCATCTCCATGTCATCGATGATCTCAACAGCTCGAATTGGACTCCCTGCCAGCATATGGGCCTTGGAATAGGCTCCATAACAGATCATGTTCGGCCGTAGACCAGCCGAACAGAAGTTGTCCCAAATTGCATCCGCACGTGCAGCGCTGCACCGGTTCGCCGCTGCATTTAGCAGGCTTCCGAGCAGAACAGGATTTCCGATCCATGAAGCTTCATGTGAAAGCCCGTCCCGAAAGTGCCTGTCGACGAGGCTTTCGTCACCAAACTGTTCAGACAGTGTCAGGAACGCTGCCCAGGTAAGATCGTCCTTTTTGAATGACTTGGCATGGGACCATTCCCATATGCTCAAAGCCCACTGACGGCTGCCCGCGTCTGCAATCCGAGAACACAGTTTAAACACAGATGTCAGTAGAATATTGTAGTCGGATTCCGTGGTCACCAACCCCTGACATTCCTCAACAACTTCTCGTCCGATCTTTAAAGCGGCTTGGGCTCGAGCCGCGATCACCCCGAATTTTCCTTCCCGACGGAGGCATGTGGCGAGAGCAGTCAGCACGGAGGAAACATGCACGGAATCCGACTTTGTTTGTGCTTTCTGCTGCATCTGCAGGACATCTTGCAAAGGTCTCCACCAACGCATCTGGCCGCATCGCTGCACAGCGGCACTAAATATGCTAATGTCCACACGACTTGCATCGCAGGCTGCTTGCAGCAAGTCCAGAAGCAGCTTTGATGAGTAGCACTTCTTCAGTCGCAGGCGCAGCTTCGTGGCACTCGGAGACCGCCGCTCTGGGGAACTGGTCTTGGGGTCTGTGGGAGAAACCAAGAAAAACTGCTGCTGCTTCCTGGACCGCTTGTGACCTGTCTTTCTGTTGTATGTGCCTTCGGGCCGCATCAGCATGCGCTCACGCTGTGAGTACGGAGTCTGTTGCGGGCGGGAGTGGCTCCGAAGCGCCACGCCAGAAACAGCAGCCAACCAAGAACCCCACAGAGAACGCTGGAGCCCAGACACTCCATGTCCTCGCCAATCTTGGCAATGTTGATTGTAGGAAATGCTGGGCTGGCGAAGCCCGCGGGAGCAGGTGGGAAAGGTGGCGCCTGACGCAACAAGGCCCCTCAACATCCCAACTCTGGCGGATATCGGGGCTCAGCAATATTTAGACTCGGGCTTCGCAGGGGATATATGATATGATGATATATCCTACACTAAACATTTTTTGGGGGAAAATTGAACGGATAGAACTAGCTCGACAATGGATTTTGCCACCTTTGTTGGATAACATGTTTGTGGTCAGGACCCTGCGACGAGATAATGAGGCAACCAGGCAGGTCAAGTGCTGCCATACAACGAGCTATCCGAAGTAAGGCACTGCATTCCCGGGTCGACGCAAGCCCGACCACGCAGGAAGCAAAAACTCCAGGTCTGGGCTTGAGCCCGAACGGCACTGGGCCAGCGCGTTTAGCACAAAGCTGATGCCCTCACGGTCACGGTTAAACCCTAGTCGAAAACCTAATCGAAGCCTTGAACCTAAAAACAAAAACTCAGCCGCGAATCACCAACGCATGCATCCCCTTTGAAACACCACCCCAGGATCCAAGAACCTGCTGTCTTAAGGCTGCGGGGGTTTTAGGGTTTCTTTATGCTCCAAATTCAGGGGATCACCACCTGCCATTTTTGCAGGGTTTGGGGTTCAGGTAGGCCTATAAACTAATCCAAACTTCGTTAATGCGAGACCTACTCCCGTAATCGAAACCCTCGGGTTTCAACGACTCTCACACTCTTTCTTAGTAGATGCAAACCCGACAAAACAGCAGGCTATGGCCCCACCGTTAAAGTCATCCCTACAACAACAGGCTGTCAGATCCATATGCCGTGCAAGAAGAAGCCTAGACATTTGAAGACCTGTGTGGATTAACAACCTACAAGACCCAATGCTACTCGCAGGGGCCCTACAATAAGAAAACAAGCCCGCTTCACCAAGGACCAGACAGTGTCTACATACAGCACGGGTTGTCAACATGATGGTCCCTAATATAGTACGGCACCGGCACCTAATATTTAGGGTACCCAAAAAAGGGACCTTAATTTTGACAACCACTCACATACAGCATGGTTGAAGGATCGGCTTCTGAGATTGGGTTTGTAGAGTTCGAGACAAGAGGCTGAGGTTTGGCTCGAGGGCTATGTTAAGGAATGTGTTGTTTAAGGCCAGTTTTACAGAATTCGAGAGTGCAGGGCTCAGAGTTAGGGCTTGGGAAACTTCAGAAAACGTTGTGAATATTTATGCGACACTTTGCGGGCTGTAAAGCTTTAAGCAAGTCAATAGTATGCTTGGCCACCTGATAACCGTGGATGCCCGGGCTTAACTGACAGCAAGACCCCGCAGACTGACACTCCGAGCCGCAGGGCTCAAAACCTTCCAAGTACGGGACACTGGATGAAGAACACGGGTTCTGACTATGGAACCATTGCTTGCAATAAAACAACAAGCCTCACATAACCCCCTAGCAACCTCAGAAAGCACTAGAACACCCTACAAACCCCGATGCAAAATGCGAAAGACCTGAAAACACGCAACCGCATAGAGCCTGAGGAATCTTCTCCTTAACACAAACCCAGAATTAAGTCGCAGCCGGGAGGGCAGAGTCGAGGAGTCCGGCTCCGACTTTTCTGCCATCTCCTTTGGCCAAAGCGTACGGGGGGGGCTGTGCTCTGACCCTACTCTTCAGAATCAGAAGGTCTGATGAGGGTGCAGCTTTGGGGGTTTAGGGTGTGGGGTAAGGGTTTAGGATTGAGCTTTAGGATTCAATTTGGGCTTCAGGTGTGTAGGGCCATAAAGGGCTTTCTGTGAGCGTCGAGGCCTGCACAAACGGTACTAGAATGGGGCGCGCACAGGCAAGCACGAGGCACCCCAGCACACCCATATAAAACGATGCCAACAAGAACCCAAAGAAATAGTTTGGGGTTTTGGAATCGGTAAGTTCTGAACCGTAGCTCACGCGCAGTAGGGCCACGCCGGGCTTAGCAGCTGTCTGCTGCGATGTCAAAAGCACATCCTCCGAACCCAGCATCTTGTATCACTGTATCCGAAATGAAATCTCCGTTACTCTTCTTACATCCTTCACGCCTAGAAGGTGATGATGGCAGTACTGGCACGGCTGGTGACCTTTATGGTCATGAGGATGCCGACAGCAATGACTGTTGAAGCGATCTTCGGGCTTGCCAGGCTCCTCCATACGCCCGGCTGCTTTGGCACGCAGGGGAGGCAAGTCTGCCAAGAAGAGTGCGGCCTGCCACAACGGGGTTCGGGCTGCGGCGCCGATGTGTATAAACTACTTGATGGCACGGGTCCTGCTATGAAGTCACCTGACCACACAAGGCCCTACAATCCCGCGCTAATAGTAATCGTCCTGAGCTTGAGGTTTAGAGCTTGTGAATGACCTTCTCTTACATGTTCATTCTGTCTTCATCGTCAACATACCCGCCGTTTCCAACACTGCAACCTCTATCACATGTGTCATCGTCCGCATGTTCTTAATGACACCCGGCCTGCCTGCCTCACCTCGTCCATGAACGAATTGATCATGTTGATACACGGTTCTTTCAAACATGATGATCCCGAAAGGAACCCACAACCCGATAGCCTCGAAGAACACGTATGGTTCCTACCCGACTACTACAGTATATCCCCCAAACCCAATTTCAAGTATGAAAGCCCCCGGAGTAAACAAAGGGAAGCTCCTGCCGCATCTTTTTCGTCGCCCGGTGCTTGATCTAGGACGATGCTGGCTTCGCCAGTGATGAGGAGACCAGAACGACGGCCGTCAATTGAATTCAGTTGTTTTCACGGCACTTGCATAGGCTTGAAACGGTGTTATTCGTATATGTTGTTTAATCTGTCTGTTTTACCGTATACCTTACCCCGCCATGAGCTACTTAACGTGTACGCTCTGAGCCGATGCCACTGTGCATTGTAGCGTAGCGCGAGACTGCTGGACAGTTTGCGTCATACAAAGTACAAAAAAAGTATTTAACGCGTGGCTCGAATATCCTGCCAGCTGTGGATCCAGAGAGTACCCGAGGAGCCCGAGAGAATGCCCCTGACATTGTATCGCACACATAAGTTTGACTGAAACATGTGCTCCTGAACTGTGTGGGTAGTGTCCCGTTGGTGTTTACTCCGGGGGGGCTGAATATCAAGTTAAACAGGGCTGTGCAAACAGTGCGGTTTTTGATACTAAAACTATTCAGCTTAAGATGTTATACTGGCAGAATCCTTCCTAGTCAGTCAGACACATATACAAGGGCCTTACTGCTGACATGGCCCAACCCTAAACACTAAACCCGAACCACAAGCCTAGAAGGCCTAAGTACCAATCTGAAAAGAACTAAAACCCGAGCTATATGCTGTCCGATGCCTATACCCCAATCCGCAAAGGTCTTATCCCGAAGCCCTAAACTAAATCCTCAAAGCCGAAAACTTCAAATCCCTATAAGACCTCAAATCACAAACACCTAAAGCCCGAACCCCTTAAACCCAAAAGCCGATCATGTCTGGTCTCCGCTGTATAGGCAGCGCTATGCTCCGTCCACGCTTCGGAGCTTCTCTTGCCAAGCTGGCCTAATATCGGGGCCTTGGTCGCTAGAATATGGGGTTTACGCGGTTTAAGGTAGATTTGACTGTAACATTAGCGAGGATATCAAAGGAATAGCAGCATGAATTACGAACTTCTCAGGCGTATATGTTACTCTAGCTTGACAACTCTAGGGTTCATGGTTTGCAGAACGTACATTTACATAAGGCTGTCCCGCATTGAGCCCCAAACCCTAAGCCGCTTGTCCTCTCTCTCTCTCGCTCTGTCTCGCAGACTCAAAGCCTGTCCTACCAATATGTTTTCAGCTGGTTTATCGCGACCGAGAAGCAACGTCCGTGTCACCTTGCTGAAAGGAAGCTTGATATCAGCCTGTTTCAGAAGTTCTTCGACATTGTCCACTAAACTAAACCTCAACCACGACAGGTCTGCCGACCTAACCCTCACATGGAAAGGCCATGGAAAGCGGCCCCCCACTACGCCCCGAGCGTGTCGTTTGCAATGGACGTCAGCAGCTGCTTCGCCGTCTGGACCTTGTCGGGGTTGCCCGTGAGGTAAACCCTGCACCTCACAGGAAGTGGCCGATCGTTTTCGAGTTTGGAGCTTATGACAGTTTATGTTTGTGTGCAGGACTTTGCAGTTTGTTGGTTGGTCTCAATGCTGTATTGAAAAAACCCGAGCACATCACAAGGAGACTGAAGCCAAGGACCATCAACAATTTGACAAATCAATACACAAAGTCGGACCTTCTGACATCGCCCATGTCTACCTTAGTCTCTGACCAAAGCCCCAGACCCCGAACGAACCTTTTCATGTCGGGGTTTGGGGCTTAAGGAGGTCGCCGATAGATACTCAAGAAAGTTCGGGGTTCAAATCCAAAGACGGTAAACTCCACACATCAGTCAATGCAAAGCTTTGGTGCAGGCTCCTTCTATGCTTCGTTTGAAAAGTAAGCCAGCCCAGAAGCTCCGACCACTGCAGCATTCGAGTTCCGACCATCCTAGAAACACCCAAAACCAAGGCATCTGGCATCCTGCCAATCGAACGGGCAAGATTGTTACATGCACATACATGTCATTGAAAGGTGGTGCAGACTTGGGTAATTATTTCCTAAACCCTGAATGCCGAATAAGCCCAAACCCACGTGCACCACCCAAAACACTAAACTCAACAACCACTGAACCCTGATTGTGATCCTTGCTCAAACAGAAGGGCTACAAGGGGGGGGGTTGCTGAGCCGTTTTTTGAGAGGGCAGTTCGGCTTGCACCGCTTATGCCGAGGGTTCATGTGCATCAATGCCTCACCTTCGGGGATCAGAACGATGTTCATCTTTCTTGGAAAAATGTTGTATAACACAGCATTCTAGGCCCCAAGGTGCTTGTTACGCGAGAAGTAGTAGATTGAAAGTAGGACTGGCGATCGTGTCACACGACGGGTTGCCTCAGTAGATTCTCGATCCTATGTCAGATCCTGTTTCGTGTGACAGGCGTGCTACTGTCGAACTCTCCGCCAGTGTTACTTTCAATCTACTACTTCCTGCCTAAGAGTCTCATCATAACATGATTTGAAACAGAGAACGTCATCCACCCCACCCCATCCACAAGAAGAAGCAACAACAAGACAAGGCATAGAAAAACAAGGCAGATAAAGTCCACCGCGCTCTAAAACCAAAAGCCCTGAAACCTAAACCGCAAAAATTCTATACTCCGAACTAAACTTCCTGACCTCTAAGCCCTACAGCCCTATCTAAACCCCAAATTACTATAGCCAAAAAAGACTCTGAAGCCCTACAGATCCTAAAGTGTCACAGTGCAAGTGGCGGCTCCCTGTTGTAGTCGATGTCGATCTTCGCGCCAGTCTGGGCCTCTCGCCATTTTGGGGCCGGGCTCGGGGACGGCTCCGGGCTTGGGGTGGGTTTCGGAATGCTTCGGGCATATTTAGGTTCAGGGCATGGGGTTTCGGGTTTATTTACGCTCTCACAAATCGCACAACCCAGATGAGGTGTAGGTCTCAATGTCAGGCTGAAAGGACTACGGGAGAAGCGTCGCCAACAACCTTCACCACTCCAGACTCACCAAAACCCAACAAAAAACAAAACCAAGAGAAGAACTACCCTCCCGTCTAGGAGTTAGGATCAGGGGGGCCCTTGGGGATATAGACCCTCTCAATAAGCTCCCTTGTCACAGAGCCATCAGCAGGGTTAAGAAAGGTCCCCTTTAAGGGGTCTCCCTAATACTACCTAGGACCGGTCTCCAATAGCAGAAGTTTCCGCACCTCGAGCTCGTGCACGCGAGCACCTTTGAGGCCGATGACCTGCGAACATGTCGCCTATAAAGGGAACTCCAGAAAGTTGGAATATGGTTTCCAGGATCCCCTATAATTTACCTTAAAGGGGTTACGATAATCATATTCCAACTTTCTGGCTTCTACCGTAAGGGTTCCTTCTGGGTTTCGGCGCTGACACTCGGACAATCCAGGCGAGGCATATGCTTCGAGGTCTGTTGAGTGAGACTGCACCTTCTGGGTTTAGGGCGTATGGGTTTACGTAGGTGGTTTAGGGTTCTCTCGGGGTTCGGGGCTTAGTTGTGGCGTCGTGGGTACAGAGCTCCTTTAATAAGAGTGCCTATGCGGGTTTCTAGAAGGATGATAACTTTAGGCCATACGGCCTGCAAGGATTCGTTGAAGGGTTCCTTTACGGGTCCCGATAGGGCCTTGAAGCACTTTATCAGGGTGCGTATAATAAGGCCTTCCTACGGGAGACTCCGAAAATAGGGGACCTTCACGTAGCACCTAACGAGTAGGATCCTTGTTATAAGGACCCCCTCCCCCCCCCTAATTTTCGGATACTCCCCTATAGGGGTTCCTGCAAGGCTTCCTTTGAGGGTGCCTTCACGGGTTCTCGCTGTGCCAATGAAAAAAAGGACTTCGAAGATCCCCTTCAGGTTTCCTGTAACGATTCCTACAAGATCCCTTTGAAGGGTTCCTGGCAGGATATCCAAAAGGCCTTGACGGAAGGCCTCCAAGTTCAGGGGCTTGGGGGTTTTGGGCTACTGGTTCAGTGTTCAAGGCTCTGCAAGGGGCTTAAAGTTGGGGGTTCAGGGTTAGGGGTGTTGGATTTAGGGTTAAGGGTTCAGGGCAAGGGGGGAATTAGGGAACAAAGGTTCGCATGTAGTGTCTTTGCATTCCACGGTTTTTGTTTTGTTGAGCTCCTTCTTCCCCTCCATCGCTGGTCAAAAGGTAGGCCACTTGGACCAGGAGTGGCAGCGTAAACGAGGTTAATAAGTTATCGGTTCTCGTATATCACTAAGACGAATGTGGCGGACTTGTTCTCTGATGATGATTCTTCTACCTTATTACAATTCCCATTGCATCCTAAACCCTGTAATGTGAGCGCTAACACCGCAAAATGCCAACCCTCCCCCCAAAAATAAACCTACCTGGAGCCCCAATAATGGCCTTCAGAGGTCTTGTGCCATTATTTTGCCTACTTTTGGGAGTTTTAAGTAAACCCCAAACCCTAAAAACCCTGAAAACCCAGAAAACCCTGAACACCCTAAACCCTATAAACCCTATATAAGCCCTAAGCCCTTAAACCCTAAACCCTGGCACCTTGCCGATCTGGCCCTGGGAGATGTCCACGAACTCCGAGTCCGAGTGCTTCTCCCGGAGGGGTTTCAGCAACTCCTTTGGCTTCTTA